TGAATTGATTCAGACCTTTTTATTAGTCTCCCGATTCAGTTCAGATTCAGAGATTCAGCCGCTGAATTGGGTCAATCTCCTCCCAATTGAATCAGCAACCAAAACTTCACACAGCCCTATTGGCTATGCCCTCTTCCCCATACAGAAATAGTTCTGTAAAAAAGTACACTACCTCTACCCAGGTAGAGTGCATCCAGACAAGCACAGCCATGCAGTATGTGGCACTACAAACATGTCTGTAGCACCATATACTGCACAGTATGGTGTTCTCCACACTGCAAGTGCACGCTGCCTGTTTGTGCACAATGGAAAAAAACAATGGAGCAGCACATGCATGGGCAGCGCACACTGCTAAGAAGTGGAGCCAGGCTGCCTTGAGCTGTGCTCCACTACCGTCCCTGGAGTAACTTGCTGCACACCAAAGCACACATGGCATGGGCATTCCCTGGGGACAAGTAGCTGCAGCGCAAGGTGCACTGCTGCTACTTGTCCCCAGGGAACCCAATGTCCATGCTCATCTAGACGCAGCCAAAGGGACTCTTGAAAAGTAGAAATCTGTCAACTTTTCAAGCCCTTCATACCACTCATGTGATGTAAGAAGAGAAAATCTGATTTTTTTTTTTTAAAGAAGATTAATATATATTATTGTTAGAACTGATTAGGATACTTTTCTCTTGAAATATTTTGCTGATGGAAAATGTTTTGATGTTATTATTTTCAGAAAACTATTTTGATTTCAGTGAATTTACTAATGAGAAGAACACCCCCCCAGTACGTTTCATTTTAGAAAATTTGATCTGCATAACAGTTTGAAAAATTTTGATTTTACAAAAATTAATAAATGTCATTTGAGAATAAAAATGTTCATTTCAAAATGTATTTTACATGTTTGTATTCCTCTTATTATTTTTGCATTATTTCATGACGTATCAGAAGTTGTAACATTTAAAATGGCACACCATGTCAGAAGCCATATTATAACAGAATGAATGAAATATTACAGCAATCATTAAAAATAGTTGACCCATAGTAATAATGTAAACTTTTTTTTTTTAATTTCAAAGTGACCTACTGTTTTGTAAGGATGTAAGTTGTTACCTTGACACTTTGAAAAAGAAAATAGGATAAACCCTTGGTATATTAATTAAGGAGCAGTTGTTTTCAATATACAGTAAAGCTCTGTTATCTGGCATCCCCCAGGAATGGAGGATGCCGGATAACAAAATATGCTGGTTAATTGACCGACCCAAACAGGCGTCCTTGCCTGTTTGGGCTGCAGCTTCTCCCACCCCGCCCGGGGCATCATCACCCCTCCCGCAGCAGTGCCACCCCTCCTGCAGCATCACCAACCCTCCTGCAGCATCACTGACCCTCCCGCAGAGCCCACGGTACAGAGAGGTGGGCCCCACGCAGCCTGCTATGCCCTGGGCCATGGGGACTCAGCAGCACAGGCTGCTTTCCCCTGCGGACCATGGGGCTTGGAGAAACTGGAAGTGCCACGGTGGGCACTTCTGGTTTCACCTTAGGTTACAAGCTGACATGCTGGTTAATAGAACATGCCAGCTTGTAAGGTGCTGGATAACGGAGCTTTTACTGTATTAGAAAATGATTCCAAGATAGCAAAGGATATTGTCACTACTAACTTAGAATGAAAACATATTTGATATTTTTTATAACATGAAAATTCTGAGTTCAACCAATGCTTATTTTGCTTCTCACAAGGCGTGTTTACATGAGACATATACTGTTGAGCTGCCTAATTAGCTCCACAGTAAAATCTCAGGGTCTACATGTGCAGCCCTATTAAGCCACTGGAAACTAATTCATTCAGCTGTAGGTTAGTACTTATAAATACAGGTACTATCCTGAAGTGGCATTCTTTAGTGCTCAGAAGTGGACATATAGACACTGACAGGGCTGGCAGAGGCATGAGGGTGCTTCAGTGTGGGGGCTGCCTGTTAGCTACCCCTAAACTGGAGCACCCTTGTGCCTCAGCTAGCCCTTCTGCAGCAAGTTGAGCCAGTTCAGAGCAGCCCCAGGCTGGCAGGTTGACCCCTTGAATCCCCTGCCAGATGCAGGTGCTCCAAACTGGCTCCACATGCAGCATCCTGGGTGCATATAAAGACGCTGTGCCTGGGAGCAATAAACTCTGGCACAATATGCACCGGAGTTTATTCATTTGCATTGATTTCACATGTTGATGAGCCCATAGAATCACATTCATCACTCCTTTAACAGCTTTTGCACTGGAACTTCTCCCACAGGAGTCAATAAGAGATTTTCTAGTATAGGGTATTGAATCTTGTTAATTAATTGTTATTTACAGCTCATTAGTACAGACATGTTGTGACTGTAGTAAGGTTTCTTTCTTTTATATTGTTAAAATTTTGCCTCAGCCATCTGTAATAGATTCAATTAATGTTATTCTGACATACAGAGCACAAATCGCATAGACCAGTGACTCTCCATTAGGGCCCCCTGGTGCCAAAAGATCCCTTGAAGGGGGCCTCTATTATGTGCATTTTCTCAGACATCCTTGTTGTAAATTTGCTTCTTTTCTAACTTGGAGAACATGTAACACCAGCAAAGTTTCCCTATGCCTGAGAAAGAGTGTTTGTGCCCAAAAGTTTGCAAAGAACTTTTTTCCAACTTTTTAGTTGGTCTAATAAAAGATATCACATCTACCCAACGAACCTTATCTCCTCACATAACAGGTAGGTAAGCCAGACATGAGGAGATAAGCTCCTTCTCAGGTTTTTTCCTGTTTTGCCCAATCCCTATGGCCTAGCCCCTCTGCAAGAAGGTAAGCACTTTAATAAATACATTATTTTTTAATGGGGTGCAGCTCAATTCACAAAAGTTAGGGGGGGTGCCTTGAGTCTAACATGGGGTCCCTTGAATATAAAAAGGTTGAAAGCCGCTGACTTAGACAGTTACCCAAGTGCAGAGGCTGAAAACCCACAGCTATACATAGCAGGAGTTGAGATACGCCATACATTCTACAGCAGGACATAGATAAGGGTTGTAGAGAAACCTTGTATTACCATTATGCAGATTGTTAGGCAGTGCATTTCAGTAGTGTAGCCTTGGCCTCAGAAGGTGTGAACAAGTTAATTTCCATTGATTTTAATGGAAATTGAGGGGACTTCTCACCTAACAAAAATGCTCAAAATATGATATTAAACCAGTAGGAATAAGGCCGTAAGCAGGACCTCTAGTCCATCCTTACCCTTCCGCTTCTTCTGCAAACATCTCCTGGAGAGATGGCAGCTTCAGATATTATCTTGAAAGCAACTTAGCTTGAAAGGGTCTTTAACAGGAAACTTCGCTTTTTAAACCATGTAAACACAAATATGTTTAGCTGTTTTCCTGCCCTTCACATAAACCAACACTGCCTAGAAAAAGCAGTTCCCCACAAATCACATGGTTTTTTCTCATACCATTTAGACTTATTTCAATATCCTTGATTTCTAGGATTCTCTTCTTTGGAATGCTGACTCGCATTCTGTGAGCCTGGAAAACATTTTGTCTCAATGTGTAAACTATACTTCAACGTGATATGTATCTTAGTTATATCTCAGTGGCTTTAAATAGTTAACCACTGTTTTTACAACATATAAAATGGCTATTTGATTAAAAGTTAAACTTGTACATGTGTATAAATACTGATATATAATTTGTAGGTAAAGCTGATGTGATAGACATGATCACTGTTACACTGTTCTCCTCTAGAACTTCACCTGGTCAGTAAGTCAGAGACCATACTTACTGAAAGAGATAGGATTTAAATGTTAGGGGCCTGTGCTTTTGAAGTTGGAGGTAATGAGTTTTGTCCCCACTGGCACAATGGCATTATGCAAAGTTACAATCATCTTTGGCTGTGGCTGTGGATATGTTATGGAGAACAAGTCACCATGCCCCTACCAACCACTAGATAAAAGCAACAGGTCAGAAGCTATTGTAAAATCAGCATATCTTTGTTGAAATCAATAACGCTACGGTGATTTAAACCAGCTGAGCATGTTTTTCAGTGGACGCATCTACGCATGCACGTTAATGTTCGGTAGCCTATTTTACTGTACATTAAAGTATCACATAAAAAACCATGCAAGTACGCTAATGCACAGTAAAATAGGCTACTGCATATTAAGAGTCACAAAAAACATGTGCTTTCAGTACTGCATGTTAGGGTAGCCTAATGCACATTGGAGGTACTAAATTTAATGTGCATCAGGAAAAGTGAATTAATGCAATTAATGCATTTGTAGACATGCCCAATGTTGTTACATATTTTAGTTGTAGGCAACTCCATATAGTGAAAGAGTATCAAAATGGTTTTCAAGCTTTTCTGAAACCTCAGCCTTTCCCCTAACATCTTTAACCAGAAGCTTCCTTATTTTGAATTCCAGAAATTCAAAATAATTTCCCTGCTCATATATCCTTAAAAGCTAATCCCCTGCCCTTCTTGTATCCCTTTAACACATGGGCAACCTCTCTGAAGGGACTTTAGGGGTTTCCATTGGAGCTGAAAATCAGTTCTAGACATAAAGCAGGGAAAAGAATAGGGAACAAGTTATAACCATACCTGAAATGGTGGTGGGAAAGCTAAATGTGAAAAGTTATTTTTTTTAAACCAAAAACATTAACATTTCAATGGATAAGGGGAGCAGAGAGAGACAGAGGGCTTGTCTACATGAGATGCTGATTGTACAGTACCATGTCACAGTATTGACAGTGCTAATTCACTACTGCATAGTATTATTAAGCTACGGTCCAGTAGCATCACTTAAAAGACTTGTTACTGTGCATTTATTTAGTACTTGCTAATATAAGTACTAAATAAATGTGCAGTAATGACTGTGCAATAGCATCTCATGTAGATGCACCCAGAAAGATCTAAGTCAATATTATAAAAATACTAAAAAAGTATCATGTGTGGAGAGAGACAGAGACTAGCGACTTCAAACCACAAGCATTTCATTAAGTTTGTTGAGACGAACTTCATTTCTCTCCCACCACCCAAGGTTATCCATGCCTTCCAGGGCAAACTGCTGGGATCTTCTCACAACAAAATAGATGAGGTAACCGCTGCCAGCAAGTGTGCAGAAGGCAAAGAAGTTAGCGAGAACCCTCAGGAATCGAGTTAAGTGAATATTTTCTTCTTTTCGGCTCTCTTGCTCCTCCACAATGGCTTCCTGCACTTATTGGAAACAAAAGGTCATAACTGTAAATGAGCAGCATTATATATACAAGGTTCTATATTGTCTGTGCAAATATTAGATAGAGGAAAACCTTTTATCTAAATTATGATAACTGGAATTTACTCCAGGTTTCTTGGAAGTTGACATTGTCACTTAAACTCTTTGAGAACTTGGTGGGCCTTGTTATATCCCTTACCAAAGGTATTTATCCACACAAAAATCCACACTTTTATTTTGAGTTTCTTGAACACCTGAACTTTAATGTCAAAACTCTGCTCAAAATAAAACCAGCATTGACAATGAGTTTGGGAAGTACTGTGAGTTTGGGAGACTGAATCTAGGAACAGACACTGCATTTGTCCAGGGACATGTCATGACTGTCTTTGTCCAAATACAGAAAAGTTATGAAATTGGTGTTTTGCATATCGCCTTTTCAATATGCATTTAGTAAGTGACTGAATACACTATTGTTTTTCTTCCATTGTTCCAACGATGCTATCCCAGGTCAACTGTTCAGATGCATTTCACAATGCCCTGGGACAAACTTTAACACTTCTTATCTTGTGAACTTTTTATGGATTTTTCCCTGAACAACAGACATGACATCTGAATGATCATACTATGTTCTGGGAGAAAATGTTTTCTCCTGGGACAAATGCAATGTCCGTTCATAGCCTGTGAAGGATACATGTATAACCAGTTCTCACTGAAGTTTCTTTGAAAGACTGTGACATTTAAGCCCCCCTCCCCCCCAATATTTGCATGTATACCAGAGTTTCATTTGGAAGGTCAGCAATTCATACAGACTGAAAAAGGTTTGATTCTATTTGGAAATTATAGACTGGAGGAAAACTGCACATTTTCAGACTTAGAAATTAAATATTTACACAGTATTGGCCTCGATAAAACTGTAGGGCTCTAGTGTAACTCTAAACTCCTGCTCCTTCCTTTACCAGCAGAAAGAGCTCTCGCTGTCACCATGATGTTCTTGTGAATAAGGTTTGGTTACAGCTTCTCACGTTAGCATAGGTAAGTGTATCATTTGACCAATAGGGAAGCTGACATACTACCTTCTATAATTATTCTAGGCAACTCTCCTTTCCTTACCAGTTCAGTTTGTTACATAAGTGAAATGAGAGAATAGAAGTCCTTGGGTGAAATCCTGGCTCCACTAAAACCAATGGCAAAATTCCCATTACTCCACTGAGGCCAAGCTTTCACCCCTTGACTATTCAGTTGCTTAACTCTTCACAAAATGGAGGTGGAGTGGTACCAATCTAGGCTTATTTGTCAAGGAATTTCCTATAAGTGGTTTTCACTCTAGTTGTCCCTCTTAGGTGTGCAACAACGTGGAAAGAGGACACTACCTGCCCTTCACAGCTCTCCCCTCCTTCATTTGTTTGCACAAGGAGCAGCTGGTGTTATGTTCCCTGAGCCATATTTTCCTCCCTTCAGACAGCAGTAACTCCCAGTGTAGATGTGCAATCCTTTATAGGCAAGGCAAGTGGGGAAGGTTCGTGCTGTCAACCATTCTGGAGATAAAGATGTGTGAGGCTAGAGAAGGGATCTGGCTGGCTCAGAAAAATAAGGTAAATTCAAAGAGATCTTCCAGTTCCCAAAGCACATGCAGGCCTTGTCTCTTGCCTAGTCTTTGGTGACTCCACACCAGCACTGGAGGAGAACGTGTGCTGTGCTTCTGTAATGGTTTATTGTAGGAGCTGCTCCTGAATGTGTTCCCACAATAACACTGGAAGCAAGCAATCCATAGCAGAATGCCCTCCAGCCAGGTCTGCTTGCTGTCCCTGGCTGACCTGGGAGTGGGGGGAGCCCCAGGGCTGTTCCTACCCCACTCCAGCTGGGGGCCTTGGTAAGTGGCAGCATGGGGTGCCAGGCTTGGCCAAGGACCATGGCAGTGGCAGCTAGGTCCCCCCTTCCAGCACCTGCTTCATGACCACAGGAGACACCCAGGCAATTGGCAGGAAACAGAAGTGCCTGGAAGCCTGCTGCTGCTGCTGCTATCTTCAGCTGACCCATGTCTCGGACGGCCAGGGCCGACTCGAGTTACGCTCGTATGTCAGGGCGGGCTGGTGAATGGAGAGACAGACACAACTTATTGGTTGTAAAAAACTTTACTCACGCCGCTTGCAATCACGACGCAGGTGGTCCGGTCGTCGGAACAACCACACAAGTTGTTCCAGCTGGCGGGGCCCAAGCCAGTTAATCCGTCCGCAATTCGAAGCCGGCGGGGAAAGGGGTACGTCGGGGTTGCGCTCGGTGACGGGAAGAAAGATCGATAGGTGATCAGTCTATCGATCGGCAGCCGCAAGTCAGATAACTTCAGAGGCACTCTGCAGCGTGCTCAAAGCTCTTCGACTTGGGCGGAAGTCGTGTGGAATTTTAAACGGCCAGCGAGCCAATTACTAGTTGCCACGTGTGAATAATTTAGCACTGGCCAATAACGGGGCACAAATTTGCATCCGAATAGCGGGAACTCTTTGCACCGTGCATCTCTGTGCTGCAAAGAAGAAATGCATTCTGCAAAGGAAACTGCAAATTGGCGGGAACTCTCCTGCACGCAGGCTCTTAATTGCAGCAGAACACTCTGCCGTGCAAAGGAGCTCTCATGTGGCCAGGAAATTCCATAGTGCCGAGGCACAAAAAATCACTGGGTCGTGACAACCCAGGGAAGGGGGATGCACCAGGTTGCTTCTGCCTAACTGGGGCTCTAACTGGGGGCTGTAGGGAGTGCCTGCACACGGTGCTGTAGGGAGTGCCTGCACAGGGTGCTAAGTCCCTGATCCCTCCCCTTCCACTGCATTCCCCCAATAGGGATGGGGCAGCAGTGTTAGTGGTTGATCTCCCCTCTTCCAGGCACTCCTGGTCTGTCCATACCCCAGGTTTCCCCTGCAGTCTGGGAGCAGACACCGAAGTTGCCATCTCCTGCCTGGCTTTCCACACAGCTGTTCTCAGCAGCTGAAGCCCTCAAGCCAGTGGAGGAAATGCAGTGGAGGGGGAGGGAGAAGGGATGCAGCTGCTCCCCACAGCCTTCAGTTTAAGCAGGGCAGGAATGGTCCTGGAGCCTCCTCCACCCCCAGGTCAGCTGGGGAAAGCAGCAGAAGTAGGTGGGTCCCCTTTCCTTACTTGCTTCCCATTTGTTCCCCCCATGTGTCCCACCTTAGCCCAGGCTCCAGCCATGCCTTGAACCCAATAGGGGACCCAGACATATTTGACCTCAGCGAAATGGAGACACCAACATTGATCTTCACTGCAGAAGGAGTCTCTGACCAGGTCACTGCACACACACCCTTTCCCCAGATTCACCCCTACCTATGTGTTACTATCCATTTGACAATAAAAATAATTTCTATTTTAAAATAGACAAACCATTTCCCCCTATTTCAATACAGGTATGAACATTTTGAGTCAAATTATTTTAATATGGCAAATGTCCTTTCTTGTGACATACTTTTCAGAGTAGCAGAAGAATATGATACTATCAGTACTGCAAAATGTTACCAGCATTTGTCAAACAAAGTATTTTTCAAATAAAAACACCATAGAAACTGGAAGCATTGAAATGTGAAAAGGAAAATCTCATTTTGCTAGAATATGTACTGCAATCCCAGAGGACACAGGAGTTGCTTCTGATGCTCATTACCTGTACTACTAAAAATTACGAACTGGAATACCAATGGAACTAGCACCTCTTTGAGACTTATTTTAGACTGGTATAATGTTGACCTAGAGAACAGTTACTCCTATTTGACAGCTTTTATGAAGGGAGAATGTAGTCCTTCTCTTTAGCAAGCTATGCCTTACCTTAAAGCTTGTTGTAATTGAGGCAAATTTATTATCTGCCGTTTCAGGATTGCCGATCAGATAATCCCAGCTGGTGAACATTTTCCAGCTGAAATTAAAACTTGTATCATCCCCACCACCATCATCATGTGCATTCTTTGCCATTCTGTAAAAACCAAACATTTAAAGAACCAATGAGAGAAAGATAAATGGCCACCTATTTCAGCAATATAGTTCTTCAAATGTTCCTAGCATCCGAATATAAATCCAAAAAATTTAGTCTGATACCACAATGAGGTAAGGATAGATAAGGAATGCCCAATTTATGAACTCAAACTCACTTTCTCACCACAGATTTTTTTTTAACTTGCTTCTGTAATACTGCATTAAGGAAATTCAGCTGGACGAGAAACTCAGTAAGAAATGAAATATCAAGAAGAGCTAACATTATCTTCTTTTCTGCCACTTGCCTTTTATATGCTTATATCTGGGACTTCTAGTATCAGAGGTAGCTTGCCTTCCCTCAACTTCTTTATTTCAGCGTATTATCCACCCTAAAGTGACCAATGGCCCGATTTTTTCGTATTATATTACTTCAGTCTGCTTGTTAAACACAGAGAGTAAATACATCACTGTACGGTGCCTATACATGTGCTTTGAGGCGTTCTAATTAGACTTGATTAATTGAGTCCGCTGGAGCCCTCTAATTAGAATGCTCCAGCATGCTGCAGAGACACATGTATTCAGTATCCCACATTTCAAAATGGCGGTGGGTTGCTTTAATTAAAATTCATTGAATGAGCTTCAGTTAAAGTGCCCCACGGTCATTTTGAAACATGGGACACTGAATATACATGATGCTGCAGCATTTTAATTAAAACAGCTGTTCAGGACCTCCTCTAATGAAAATGCACACCCCTCCACCCAGAGCATACATATAGACACACACAGGATGAGATGAAAAGTTTAGTACCAGATATTCCATTGAGTTCATGCTTAGGGAAAAATAACGTCCCTATTAAATGTGAACTATATTCCCTGAAAAAGGCACTTAAGCAACACATGAAAGTGTATTTACATTAACCCAAGTAGGTAATTATGAATACAGAAAGCCCTTCTAACTTCTCTGTGTGTACAGAACTTTTGTTTGGCAGTGGAGCTGATGTAAAGCTAATGCATCTGGTTTTACTGTTGTTGGAAGATACAAAAGTACTCTAGGTTTGTGATGCAGGCTTTGGAAACTTCAGCCTTATATCCTGAGCAGGAGGATTCCTTCTCCATAGTTCTCAAAGAGATAGTCAGTGAGCAACTTGATGCTTGAGGTAGGTTTTGGACAGAAGGATTTGAGACAATTTAGAGCTGCCAAGCAAACAATGAGAATTCAGATGTCTAACTGCATATTTTAAATGACCTATTTTGTATCTGTATGCAAAAAAATTGGATGTGATGTTAGGAAGCTATTTTTAAGAATGTGACCTAATATGAGTCTGAGATGTTAGATTTTTCAATGTACTGATGTAGTCAATGGTTTGAAAATTACACGAGAAAAGCCTATTGTGAATATTTCTTCTGTCATCTTTTGTCTTCACAATCCCTTGTCTCATTTGGTATTCTTTGGGGAAAAATACCTTCAAATACTACATTTCACAAGCATTTCAACATAATGGGAAGAATGTATAAGCATTAATAAAGCAAGAAGTAACTTGAGGGTAGCTATTTATGTGTACGGTTACAGAATAATGGGGGTAGAAATTCCAAATTGTCTCTTGAAACCTTGACTATATCAGTCCCTCAAATCAATTGTTCTACAATCTCATTGCTACAGATCCAATCTAAAGATTCTTAATAATGCCTGGAGCTATGTTTCTATGGAGAACAAGCACCTATGCAAACACCCAAATGCTTCAGGATACCACAGGAACTACAGAGAACCTCTTGAACTTTAGAGTGCTTTTAAATAACGTTGGTCATATCTTCTGCCCCCTGCTTGGATAGGCAAATCAATACCCTATTACAGGACACAATAGAAACTCTTGAGGAATTCAGAATGCAGTCAAATTACATATGCAACCCAAAGACTACAGATTTTTCTATTTACTAATGTGTGATTGGATAAAAGAGGTGTTGAGTTGAGCCCTAAACCTAATAGTTGATTTTCTCCACCTATACAAACGTTTCTCTTCTCTGTCCACAACCACCAGCAAAACAATCTTTATTATACAGGGTTTAACCAAGAAGAATGGTTCTTAAGGTGACCTAAATACAGATTAGCACTGGTATCTTTGAAATTAAGCACAGGGAATACATGTTTCCTTGAAAGTATTGGTTTTTGTTTTCGCTTCAGAGATTCTGTGTTGTAAGGAGGGTTTTTTTGTGGGGAGGAGGAGGAGTGGTTAGGGTTTGGATGACCACCACCCACTCAAATGTAAATCCCTGAGAAGATGCACTGAGAAGAATTTTCTAATCTATAGTGGGCTACACTATAAAAGAAACATTTTAAAAACTGTTCTACAGCCAAGTCAAAAACTATGCCTGCTACATTATAAATGTAGAAATACATTATTCTTTCTGCAAACACACGCATTTTGTAAGTGAGACTCAAATGGCTGTGCTTGCCTCTGCATGTCTTACATTTTTCTCCATGAATAACACCTACCCTATCCAAGAAATCATATATTACTTGAAAACAAAACCTGTGCTTCTGAGAATGAAGACCTTTCAGCTTCTGCTACCTAGCTACACTACTGATCTTCAGTCCTGACCTGTGTGCTAATCCTGGGATTTCTAATACTGGGCTGCTTCTGCCCTACTAGAAGTTGCATTCATTATGTTAGGTGTTCTTCTGGTTCAAGCCAAGAGGCATTAGGGACCATAGGCATAAATTAGGGACCATAGGGGGTGCATCTACACATGAAATTAATTCGGCGCAAAGAACTCCAGTGCAGTTTGTGTCAGAGTTAATTGCTCCTAGGCACACTGTTTACACGTGCGCCCAGGACTGCAGCACATTGAGCCAGGGCAGTGCAGCCCCACCTGGCAGGAGGCCCAAAGGGTCAACCTACCAGCCTGGGGCTGCTCCTGCTGGGCTCAACGTGCTGAGGAGGGGCTGACTCGGGCACAAGGGTGCTACACTGTGGAGATAGCCAGCAGGCACACTGTAGCGCCCTTGTGCCCCAACCAGCCCTGATCACCATCTATATGTGCACTGTGGCAGAGTAAATAACTCTGCCATAAAATGATACTTGTGTTGGGCAGTACTAACCTATGGTAGAGTGAATTAGTTTACTCCAGCCTAGTAGCACTACTTGTGTAGACGGTGACACTTTACTGCAGAGCCAATTAGGCAACTCTACAGTAAGCGTCTAGTGTAGATGAGCCTAGCTATAACTTCTTTGAAGCCAGTAGAGTTGCATATGCTTCTTCCTGTTCTTAATGTAGGAAGTTTTTAGCATGGTCTAAGTATGAAAAGCACAACTAGAGATTTTGCCACAAAACAGTAATTCTTTGCCATGACCAATGGCATTAATTCTTCTACACTACTGAGCAAATGTGAGCTAACCATGATAGTCTTGCTGAGAATCATTTACTGCTTGCTGTGAGTGATGCAGCTGAATTCTTTACCATATGTTTTCCTCTTCTACTTTTTCCTTTTTTTATTTAATTCACTCAAAGTATGATTAAAAGAATAAATGCATTTCCTAGATGTGATTTGACATTGTGTTAGGTGCATAAGGGTTGATGGTTCTGTTCTCCATATTATACATTTATTTTACCCCTTTAAGATGCAAAGGGAAAGTATTATTTTATTTCAGTGACTACCTTTTCTAGACTGTAATACATTTTCTGGTACAGAGTGATTAAACACTAGCCTAAGAAATGATATGTCACTTTAACATACTCTGGCATTGTTTTGAAATGGTATCCAATGAAATGTGTCAGTTCTACATTAGTCTTGATGTTAAAATTGCTGTATTTTCATCTCCTATAGTGCATCCAGTAATGTTGATTGGATGGAGTCACCAAGTAAGGCACCGACTTAGGCAGAGGGTGGAAAAGAAATGCTGCCACCACAGTCACATGAAATCTCCGCTGTTCCCACATGTATCTACTCCTCCAGTTGCTCAGCTGCTTTATTACACCTCTGATTGCATCTTTTGACATGAGAATTGCAGCAGGCAATGCTAAAATTATTTTTTAAATTAATTCTTTACTCCCCTAAAGTCAGAAGGCACTTACGTTCGAATGACAACCATGAAGCTATAGCCAATGGTTCCAACTCCCACAAGAAAGTATGAAAGCGGCATCCTGAACTTCAGCCATCCAATTGTTCTTTTGTTGTCATAATAGCCATAAAAGAGCACAGAATACTGTGCAAAGCCCTGAAAAGTCAACAAGCAGCAGTTTAGCTGACTACCTATGCATTTCCATGAATTCTACCAAAAACAATATCTATCAAAGAAACATTCGTCTTCATGCACTCATAACTTCTCCAAACATCACTATGGTGAATATTACAGAATAATCTGGCCAGAAGAAACCGGTTTTGCAGTCTTTAGAGAAACTTAAAAAATCCTGTCCACGTTTGCACATCCACATACTTTAAGGAACAACTAGAGATTTTATATATAGAAAGAACAACTAAAGATTTTGCACACATATAGGTTAGGCATTTCAACTATAGTTTAGCAAGTTTTTTTTTTCCCAAGCGTTTTCCCCACCTACGTGGAAAATGACTTTTCAAGTAAATGGATAGTTTGGTACTTGTATTCCATGTTCCTCAAATTTCCCTGCAACCCCAGTTTGGTATGAAATTCTTATTTCACTTCCTGTTTGCTGTCCCTAGGCTGGGATACAAGGTAGTTCTTATAATTGTGAGTGAAGATTTGGGTTAATAATTGCTGTGAATGCAGGGGACTAAACTGAGGGGCTCAGGAGGCCCCTTCCAGTCTAATGCGCCTATATTCCTGTCCTAAATGAGTGTATAGTGTTTCTGTCTGCTGTACAATAGTCAGTGCATTTGGCTGCATTCATTGGTAGTGTCTGAAAATAATTCATATAGTTATCACAGGCTGGTAGAGGGCCCTTTCAGAATAAAAATGTATCATTATAGGAGAACACTGTATTCAGAACCCTTTGATGAACAGCACAATACATGCACAGCAGCAGCAAAACTCCAAACAGGCATAATTAATTCAAATCAAATACTAGAGTTCAGTATGTGGACATGTAATTTGTTGATGTACTGTTGATGAATCATGAGATATTTTGATGCTAATGCAGCAAGCTTCAGTTCTCCTAAGTTAAAAAGGTCTATTTGCTTTCATGTTGTTGTTTTAACTGCTGGTATTTTTTAAATAATTTATTAGTAGAATATAATGTCAATAGGCTAACATCCTTCTCTTTTGTTTAATCACAAATCATACATTTGATTTATGGTAGTTCTTAATATATCTAAAATGAGTCACAACATCATCTGTGAAAATTCATTTACAATTCTTGTAAGGGTGAAAATGAAATATTAATATACGATAAAAAAAATGCTTGAGTTGATAATTGGTGCATCTCATTTACACTGATATCAGACTAGCTGTTATAAAGATATACCTGCAGGTAAAATCACAGTGATGTAACTTGGGGAGTGATAAAGGCAACTGCCCTGGGCACTGACTGAGGAGAGAGGCAAATAAGAGAAGCTGCTGCTGTCAGCTGCTCATTCACAATTACAGCAGCAACAGCAAGTTGCCATATCCCTACTCTGCTGGTAAAAATCAAAGTTCTGACTGAGTCTAGTATCCCATTTAGCTAACATGGTAAAGGCTCTCCAGTTTTTGTAGCCTATGACCCACAAGAGAGGGATGTTACCAGCATTACATCCAAGTGCCCTTGTCCCCTCCACCTGAATAACCAGGTGCCCATGGTTGACTATGGGGTTTTTTGGCAGTCTGGAGGTAGGCTCAAACTTGCACTTCTGGAGTTGTAGTGGGACTCACTGGGTGTATCTAAACCTGCATTTATTCCAGCCTAGATTTACTGTACAGTAAACTACTGCACAGTGGGCATATCCACACGTGCTTTTACACATACCTATAAATGCACACTAGCCTAACGCACATTAAGGCAATTTACGTGAGTCTACACATACGCGTGCTGAGGTGCATTAATCTGGGTGTCCAGACAGATTTGGGAGTCGAATTAGTCCCAAGTCAATGGACACACACTGCGTTAATGTGCATTAGCGCATCCACATGTTTGCTAATGTGACTTAGCTATTCGTGCATAAATTTGATATCTGTTTTATGCAGGTATCAAATTTAAGCTCAAATAGCCAAAAATCACCATTGTTAATGTGCGTTAAGGGCATGCACATGTACATTTGCACACTTAATGACAACTTAAATTGAGCTAATGCACATTAAATGTGCACATGTAGACAAGCCCAGTAAGCATTTTTGGGTAGGTGTTTACACATATGGGGATTAGGGAGAAGATTTGCTCCCAGGCCCCTGCAGCCCTGCAATTGGCCCCTGCTGCCATTGGGTGCTAGCCCAGCAGCTGTCAGGGAGCACCAGGCCAACAGACAGCTGTCTCTTGGCCCTGGGGATCTGCCTGCTGCTGGGGCAGGGACAATGTTAGCTCACTGCTAGCTGCCCCACCAGTGGATCAGGGCAGGGGGCTGGAACTGACCCCACTCCTGGAGCTCTTCCCAAGCCCTGTGCCTCAATCACTGGACTGGGGCATGGGGCTGGGGCCGGCCCATGACCAGGACAGATCCTGGCCAGTCCCAGGCTGTATGGGGAAGTCGGCATGTGCAGGCTGGAGCTGGCCGGGGACTGCCCAAAACAGGACAATCTCCAGCCACCTCCAGGCTACATGTGCTTCCCACCACAGCCTGGGGGCTGGCAGGGAATTGTCCTGGTCAGGGGCAGGTCCCAGCCAGCTCCAGACTGGGTGGGAAACTGTCCCCATACAAGGAGCTCCTAGCCCCTGCTCCACAATCGCAACTGTGAGCATGGAGTGGGAGCTAGGGAGCTTGTTCCCAGCTCCTGCTCCATGATTGCAGAGCAGGGGCTGGGAACAAGCTCCCAGCCCCCACTGTGAGATTAGAGAGTGGGGGCTAGAAGATGCCTACTGTCAGAGCAGGGGGACATTGTCCCGAACCAGGCACACAGGGCAGGGGATGGGGAGCTTGTTCCCTGCCCAGTTCTGCAAGCACAGAGTTGTGGGAGAGTGGCAGGGAAGGTGGACAGGCTGGAGAGCTTGTTCCCCTGCCACTTGCGGAGCTGGGTGGAACATGCTCCCCAGCCCCTGCCAGCAGGGAGCTTCCAGCACCAGTTCCACAACCACAGTGCCTCTTCTGGGAGATGCTCATCTTTTAACCTGAGCTCCACAATCATGGGGATCAGGCTAGGAGACCTTCATCTCCCAGCCCAAACCCCATGACTGTGAGGCTCAGGCTGGGAAATAAGGGTCTTCCAGCGCCCTGCTCTTTGATCACGATGGTCGAGTAAGGGCTGGGAGATAAAGATTTTAATCTCAGAGCAGGGGGCTTGGAGCTCCCTGCTGCTGGGGCAGAAGCACACAGTCCCTGCCCAGGCTCCTGTGACAGAGCCTGCCCTGGAAGTAGGCAGGTCTTGGGGGCAGGGAGCTCTCTCTCACCCCCTGGTGGACGGCTGAACGGGAGCAGATTTTGCTCCCAGTCAGGCATCTACACGAGTACTACAGCGCCATTACTAATGCCAAGTAAATTTGCTACTTATATTTGCAGGTAGCAAATTTACTCAGTATTGGGAAGGTTTACTGTGAAGTAAGCATGTGCATGTGTAAACTCACATGCTTACTTCGCAGTAAACAATGCTAATGCAAAGTTAAGCATCTTGTGTAGACATGCCCACAGTGAACTACATTGCTAGTAAACACCATTGTGTGGTTAAGATATGATAGGCATTTCCTTCTGCAAGAAAAGAAATACAATTATAATATTATTATTTTATTATATGAATGACACCAACAATCTGAAGGACACAGTCATATTAAATTATTTATCTTTTGTTTCTGTACTTAAGAATTGGGGTAATTCTGTGTAAAAATTGTATAGTGTGATTAGATTGTTGAGTTCTGTAGAGTCTCATGCTATCCTGAATAGCTGTTTAAGTCACTCACAGAATTAAAATGTCTTTCAGGTCACCATGCTCTGCCAAATCAGTATCCTTGTAGGTGTTTAAACCTTTTAGATAATCCCTGCACTCTGTGGAATTAAAGATGTTGTTTCCTGGGCTTTGTCTACTGAGGCATTCAACATGTTTTTAACAGTGAAGAAGTAACCATAAGTAAAGGGTATTTCTCATCCTCTCCACTGCCTAACATAAAGATAGAAGAATGGAGTCTATTTAATGAGCCTTGAGACTTTTATTGCTTCTGTTAGTTGGTAATTGTTTGGGCTGTATAATATACACGTTAAAAATTTAATTTCAGATAACAATGACAAAAAGTGTTTTTTTAATTTAAAAAATCTATGGGCAAATAACTCAGGATGTACAGAAGAATTTTTTGTTTAAGTAGCTACACTAGTTCATCGTTTATTTTTTAACTGACAAATTATTTTTGGCCTAAAGTATCTGAGATGGTTGGTCCTACTCCCAGTCCTGAAAAGATAAGAGTTTAATTTTCCCTATGGAATTTTGTTTGGTTTGTTGACCTGATCACTTTTTAAAGTAAGGTCCTTTCTTTCCTAATATTTAACTGGGTCTATCCCTGTCACTATCTCTTTCTTTGCTTTTGCATCCATGCTTTTCTCTCTCTCTGTTTGTGTTCCCTGTGCTATCTGGTACTCTGTCATTTGATAGACTTCTTCAGAGCTACCAGAGCCTCTTTTTCTCTGTTTCTAGGATCTTCCTCTCTCATACTATCATCTATCACAATGCTTCTTTCAAGTCCATTCTCTTTCAAAGTGGAAAGTGGATTTGGTGTGTCTTTCAAAGGCCCTTTCACATTCTCTGTCTGATCACATGAACCTCTCACTCCCTTCTCTAGGCCCCAGTCTCTTTACAGAGCCTGAAAGTTGCTACAGGGATAGTTTCTCTTCTAAGACCTCTCTCTGATACATAGCTTTCTTCTTCTAAAAGGGCTATATCCCCAGATCCTTGTCATCTCTATAATTCATATCCAGCATATAGCTCCTGATTATCCTGATGCAACAGAGTTTAGCTCTGTAATTAGGGACCTACAGTAGTTTTTATTCATACGAAGGGACATCACCCACTAGAGAATGCTGACAACTTTTTTTTAGGGTTTAGAGATGGGCCATCACTTTAGGTGCCTAACAGAGTGCAGAATTCATCTGTCCAATTTTTCATCAAGTGTTGTGGAAAGAGGTGAATGTACTATTTTGAATACTTTAATAAATTAACATTTTTTAATTTAATTTGGTTTCATGGAGTCAACCTAAAAAGGAGTCAACCTGAAAGAATTGCGTTAAAGAAAATCAGTGTGTCTACTTAGATATTCTGCCTATACGTTGAGATATTAAAAACAGACACCTTATTCACAGGAAGTCTACTACCAGGCTGAAAACAGACCCCAAAGACTTAAATAAAAAGCCAGAACCAGTCATTCCACACTCAACACAAGAGGAATGAGCCATGAGTCAATGGCAAGAAAGTCCATCTGAGCACAAGACATGGATATGTTAAAGAATGGGCAGTGCTGTATAGTCATGGTAGAACAGCCACAGGACAAATTGATTTGGTGTGTCCTGACGTGCTCCAGGAGAGTTTAGAGTTACCCTCCAGATAGTAGAACTCCTAAAGGAAAATTACCTGCACCCTTTTGAGACTGAATATCATTGAACTATTAAGCCTTCAGAGCACTTCCAGCAGGCATGAACCCAGGCCCAGGAGATTTTATCTCTTGCATCTCATGATTTTTAACACTGATCCTATTGCTCACTGACTAATAAGAGACTGAACTGTTCCTGACCTGAGTTTGTCACTTCTGAGCTGTGAGTTGGCACAGCTAAATTACTTGTTCAAAGCAAAGGATACTCGCTTTCACATCCAACCTCTTCTGTCATACTTATCCTTGTTGAAATTAATAAGAAAACTCGAGTGCTAAATTATGAGCATGTGAATAAATCATTGAAAGACTGCATGCTAAATGCAGAAGGAGGAGCATATGAAAGCTCCAGGGAAAAATACATCTAAAGGGATGTTCTTCCTATTAATATGCAGAAAAACTATAACTGGATGACTTCCTATTTTCCTTAAGAATAATATCTTTAACCATTTTCAGTCTGTTTGTACAGAAGATCCATCTCTTACAAAACCATAATAAAGGATTTGGTCATCCTTCTTACTAGAGCTAAAATATTTGTAATTTTTAAGAACGTTACAAAGAGTAAAAGCAATATTTTTTTCTTTAACAGAAGCTGTCAGTGGTGAGCTACTGCTCCTTTCTTTCAACTCACACTGCTTTATCAGTCTGAAATTTCAACTCATAGAAACACAAAGTATCAAATTTAGCCATAGCAAATGGACAGTACAGTAGGCATGCATTTAACCTAAAAAGATTTCTTCCCAAACTTCCCTCCTTCTTATTGCTAAAAGCAAAGAAGTGTGTATCTGGTCATAGAATCCTAGTATGCTTGGTGTTGGCTTCATATCAGTGTCAGAAGTAATGGGATAAAATTTGAGCAGACTTTTATCTATTTCCATTTCTTTTTCAGAAGATATTCCATATTAAAATCACTGAAGTTGAACAGGGACATTCTATATATTGAAGCCAAAGCCCTTCAGAAACAAAAGGAATAGATTAACATGCTATATTCACAGGCACACTTACACTGAAGTCCCACAAAGTAGCAAAGTTCATAGCATTTGCCTCTTCAGCTCTTGGGACAGTTTTTCTAGGTAAAGTGCCATATGGTTTCCCCATCAATGCCTAAAGTAAAAAAAAAAAAAAGAGTATATTTAATATTTTAAAATATAACACAAACCAGCAAAAGTAGCGTAGATCTGAACAAAATCAATGAAAACTTGCTTGTGCTACTTAACCTCTTCCTGGTTTTAATCTACCTTTCCAAATCCTTATATTAGTTGTTAGTACTGTTCCTGAAATATGTTGGAATATTTTTTTTTATTAAATGATATTTTACTGAAATCAATAGAATGTCAAGCATTCATTTAATTACAGTAAAAGTTTTAACATCCCCCACCCCCAGCAATTTATTTGAATTATGAAAATTCTTATGCTATTTATTTTATTGCTTATGTTCTTAGAAACAGATCTGGAGATTGTGGGTATTTATCTTTCAACCAACATTCTGAAAGTCTCTTATAAGATGTCTGCATTGCACTGAAAATACAAGTGACCAGAATTGTTTCATATGGGCCTTGATCTTACTCTACTGAAAGCAGTGGGGCATTTTTTACAGCGCTGTAAATCCAAAGTAACTCTGTTGGCTTCAAGTACTCCACCAAAGTGTACCTGAAGCAGAATTTGGCCCATCCAGTGGAGAAATGTTGGAACATATCATGTCCTATAAAAATCCAGTGGATTTAATGTTCTGTGCTTTACTTGTTCATATACACTCACTGGAAGGTGAGTTAATCAAGAGGATATTCTATATGGCTGAAATTAGGGTGGTCAGCACAGGACTTTTATATCCCCTAAATTCTATTCACGTCTTTTTTGTAGGCTGCTTAAGTACCATGCTGACCCTTGCACAGAAGTTATTTCAGGCTGAACTGAATTCCATATTATGGATGAGATTATTTGATTCATTTCTTAGAAATATAGCTCACAACTGGCCATCTAGGCCTATGGAAGCTTAAAAGTATATCTGTGCCCTCCCAAAGCTGGGCTGCTCAAGGTGCTATAAAGGCTTCTGTCATAGGCTTCTGTCACACTAGCCTCCTCAGGCTGCCCTGTGGGCCAAGAGATATACAGAATAATCTTGGGCCTTATGTGCTGAAGTATGGGACCAATATATCCATCCCACTCAGTCTCACCCTTGTCATCCCTCACCTATTAGGGCTTGTGAAGGAGTCCTTGAGAGAAAGGTCTTAGAGTTATTTTCTGCATTGCCTGTGCCTAGAATTATTCCCCAGATAGGAACTTTTTATACCACTCTAGCTCTTTTATGTGGCATAAAGAGGCCAGATATTTGTAGAGGTCCCGCCACATATTGTTTAACCAGAAAGGAAATTCAAGCAATGTTTCCTGGTGACATTTACCCTCCAATAAATATAGGAAATGCAATTAAAAAAATAAAAGAAAGAAACATTTAAAATGACTTGTTCTTACCTCAGGTATCATTACAAGTCCAAAGGACAGGCCAAAGAGAATCATATTTACTCCATACATCCAACGCAAGAATATGAAATACGAAGCCACTGAAGAGCCAAAATGACCTATTGAAACATAAGAGGTAACACAGAACAGACAAGCCAGTCCTCTTGTGTAGTCACGTTAACGCAAAAATTATAAATTTTTATTTAATTCTATATAAGTTCCTAAGGTTTTATAATGTTAATAATTTTTTGTGATTGCAAAGTAAGATTTGTTACTTCAATAAGAACTTTCAATAAGAAAACAAAAAAACCCCCAAGATATCATTTACGAATGATTATTCAGTTACATAAAAGAATATTAGTACTACTACACCCACATGATGCAATGAAACCTCCAGACAAATTCTTAGGGCTTAATTTTTAAAGTATTTAGATGCCAAAAGATGCTTAGTGAGGATTTCCCAGTGTTATGCAGCTAACTCCCTTTGAAAATCACTTAAATTCCTTGAAAATCTAGGCCCTCAAGCTTATAAGTATTTTAAAGTCTGTTTAGTTTCTAGACTGTTCACAATGGAGAAAATAAAATGTAATTGGCAAAGGAACTTCAGGAATTAAAACCATACCAAAATGAGTATTTTACAACAGTGGCACAAAATGAAAGTTGTTTTTGTTTTGTTTTTATCTGGTGAATATTATGTACAGTTTTGGCACTCTAAGGTAATTCCTTTTTTCAGTGTCTGAGCCCATGTGTACTAGTCAGTACAGATGGACAAAGCAGAAGTGGGAATCCTCTCCCAAGGCCACATGGCAGCTATTTATGTTCTACTGAGGCCAGTATAGCTCACTGCTGGATCATTGGGTTCAATAAATACAGGCATACATGAATAAGAAGAACTAAACCATGACCTTTATCTTAGATTTGTACTCTACCAAGGGACCATTCCCATTTTGCAACATCTGTGGTCTGCTAAGTAAGGAAGTGTATATATTATAACTTCTATCCCTACAGCTGGAATGAAGAAAAGTAGGTTTAGACTGGATATCAAAAAGATCTTCTTCACCGGTTAAAACAGACAAGCAACAGAATAGACTGCCTAGGGACATTGTAAAGAAGAGGACTACAACCATTTTGGATATGGAAGAAGATTAAAGAGCAGTCTGATCTTGTGTATATCAGATTTTTTACAATTTAACAAAATTGCTAACAAACTTGACATATTGAAATCAGTTACAAACCCCAAGCGTAGATGCATTCTGCCAGTAGGAAAGTGCTTACTGGAGTTGTTCTAAGAAAAGTAATTCAGTTTTGTAGATGGCTTCACTATTTCAAATTTCAAAAAATCCAACCTTAAAATTTTACAGAAAGTATAATACAGCTTCTTCTTTCTAGGCAGTGCACCTGATAGGCAGTCCTGAACCCTGGGAGACCTGAGAAAACCCAAATGGCAGAGCTGCCCTAGAGCTGTAAACACTGGGATCTTTGTGGTTTCTCACTCTGAGATACTCTAAGGGTGTCCCAGAACTGCCTACTCTCCCAAAACCTGATTACAAGGCAGTCTACCCATCTGGCTGGCAAACTGACAGGAAATAAGGTAGTGGGTCCAATGTCAATCAGCAATCTCTTCTGGGGTTAATCTACTCTCAAGTGCAGCATATTACAGGAGCAGATCAACCACCCAACATTTTGGGGTAAAATTTTGCCTTCCTCCCAAGTGACAGAAATAGCATCCCTAAATCTCTGCACAATGGGACAGTCTAACTTTAGTGTAGGAGCCAGGAGCCATCCTGCAGCTCTTTCAAGGTAATGTTGTTCACGCTGTCCCAACGTAGGGCAGGGAGTGTGTCATAGAATCTAATTTATAGATTATACTAGAATACTATTTTGAAGTTGTTTTAATCCCAATCGCAATTCATTCCAGGTCTTGGCCTCTCTTTGTAATCACAGTCCTTTTGGTAAGATCCTCTTTCAGGGATATGTCTAACCAAGATCCAGCATACCAAGAGTTAACTCTAGTTTGTTTACTGCTTTGTGGCCTACACAGGTGGAAAGCACTAAAATAATGAATCAAGAGCCCTGATTGGGAGTAACCAGGTGTTAAATAGTCACACCACAAAACCCTATAAAACTGGCTACCTCTGCAGAGACAGAAGAACATTATATTAGGAAAGGAATAGATTTAATTTGAGGCTGAGCTGAGCTGATTTTTGTTTTGTGCTTAGTTATTTTCATCTCTGTTTCACTCAGATTCCTGACAGTCAGAGTTTGAAATCTGAGGAGGTGCTTGGGTGGGGGCTAAACCCCCCACAGAAGAGATGAGAGCCCCGCATAACAATGCTTTTTGAAATAAAAGTCATCTTGGTACTATCCTTTATATTCTCAAGTACAAAAAAGAAAAAAAAAACAGTCACTATCTGTTAAACTCCATCCTAGACTATTCTGACATATTTCCCAGAGGCCTTTCTGGTTACTGAGATTATTCTGCATTCTGATACGTCTTAAAACTCTTTGAAATTCAGATAACAATGACAAAGCAGCTGAGTAAGAGCTCCATACCTGCAGCTTAACATCTTGAGAACCAACTTTGTGTGTGTGCTCTTCCAGCCAACTTTGTCTCTATCACAACACCAGATGCAGAAGCTAATGCACTGAATGCCATGCGCATGAAGTTGCTCAGTATAAAATATTCTTCACATCAAACTGTCTTCTGTGCATCACTGATACACAAGTTTTAGCAATGACAGTGAAAAATGATTTATGAGTCAGGCTTTATTTAATTATGTACAGCTTGAAAGATTGCTAGCATATGCAGGAAAGTTTTAGATAGGACAGGACACCGGGAGGCAGCTTGACCTAAAGGACAGAGCTTCATCTTCTTCTTTGAAAAGAAAAAAAAAGCTCTACTGCTGATGGCATGAAGTCAAAAAGTCTCTTTGGCTAGGTACAGACAATCAAAAAGCCTGAGGAGGAATCAATCTAAGTTACACTGCTTTCTATAAGCGGTATACTCTAGATCAATAGCAAACAGAACACACATTCACCCTTTGGTGGGGGGGGAGGGGAGGGAAATCTTAGACCAGGTTCCACCATTTTAAACCAGTCTATGTGTACCGAACTTCTGTTCTGTTATGGGTCTAGACCAGTTTGCAGTCACTTGTACTGATAAAAATATAATGTCTGTACCTGGCCTTTCGCTTCTATTTCCTTTCCTATCCTGGGTTTTCTTCTCTATTTTGATTGTAATGGTTTGTGGGTCTCTCACTAGGTGTTTACACAGTGCCTAAGACAATGGAACCCTTACCTACTCTAAGGAATCTTATTATTCCAAAATAAATTATAATGATACCAGCTTAGGGCCTGAGCCTTGGCCTAGATCCTAATGAAAGTAAGATTGCCTCTGAAATCAAGGATGAAGCTCTTTATGATTTAGGTGAGAATTCAATGACTTTTTCATTACTACATGGCTCTGCTCTGCTAATCACTGTAGCTGTACATATTGATCACCTGGCCTTTTTATTGTATGCTATGGCGGTTTCTGTTGATTTTCATAAACTGTTCTGTTACTATATTACTTATTTTCTCTGATAAGGGCTTGATGCTTGATGCTTTATTAGTGAAGATTAGCTTCATAGCCTGGATATCCTGGTAATGTTTATAGAATGGAATGGAGCTATAGTTACTAATTAAAGATATCACTATCTGAGACTGAATTAGAGAGAGGAAAACACTCTACAGCATTTACATAAGAACATAAGGGCCGGGGATTCAAAAAGCCTGTGCCTGAATTGATTCAGTCTTTGCAGGTTAGTCTAACCTGCCTAGGCTGAATCAGTTTGTAACTGCACAGACATCCCAAAAATGCAGGCACGTGCCTGCAGTGGCTCAGGCAGCAAGCCAGGATGGGGAGAGGGGTGGCGGTGCTGAAGCACCCCTCCCTCCCTTTCTACAGTGCTGAGCTGTGGGGGGCATGGCCAGGCCATGGCAGTATGCTCTGATTAGGGAGGGTTTCCGCTCCCTCCTTGATAACAGAGCATTTATCTGCTCTTTTATCAGCATTTAGCACCCCATCAGAAAACAAAGCCTCACTCATTAGTTCAAGCTCTTCTTAAACAACTTTTTCCAAAGGAAGAAATGGAGGGACATTACCAGCTGACTTGTAGATTAGCTCCAAAAAGCCCTAAACTGACACTGTCCTGTCTGCCTTACACAAACACCTCTCAGCATTAGCTAGCATACTGCATGCTGGCTATGGTCCATGCTGTGGGAGAGAGGAGGAAGGGATTCCTGCTTAAGCAATAAGTGGTGGGGGGAGGAAGGAAGCGGGGTGGCATGAGGAAGCCAGGCAGACCCTGCTATGCCTGCAAGTCTCTGCTGGAGCTTCAGCCAGGGAGCAGAGGGGAGGGGCCTGCCCAGCCCAGCCCAGCCCAGCCCAGCCCAGAGAGCTGGGCTGGGCTGGGCGACTCTGATTTAACTTAAACCAGGAAGCAGTCTGGGACAGACATTGCATAAACCAGTTTGAGCCAAATCAGTTAAGTCTGATACTACATTTAACCAGGTTTATCTCAAACAGGTGTCAGACATTTTCAAACTGGTTTATGTGCACTAAATGTCTGTTCTGTTACAGGTTTAAACCAGTTTCTGATCACTTAAACTGGTTTATATGTAATGTCTGTCCCTAGCCAAGAACTGTCATAGATCCATCTTGCCCAGTATCCTATATCACAAAGTGGCAGAGGGTGGATGCTAAAAGGGAAAGTGAACTGGATATTACCAGGGCATTTTCTGCTGTTCTTCTCTCATTTGCAGCCTCTAGCATTTAAGATCTAGGAATTTTTGATTCATAGGTTGTATCACTAACTTCCATGCTCAATAGCTACTGATGCCCTTTTCCGCCAAGAATTTGCCCAATCCCTTTTTAAATCTAGCTAAATTGTTAGCTTCCACAACATGTGGTGGCCATGAGTTCCACAGTTTAATTGCACACTGTGTGGAAAAGAACTTCCCTTTGTTAGTTTTAAATTTACTACATGCTAATTTCATGTTGTGACTCCCCTAGTTCTTGTATTGTAAGAGAAAGCAAACAATAAATCCTTATATACTTTCTCTTCACTGTGTAGTATTT